CAACTGGGAATGGAGTAGAGAGTCAGCATGCTTGAAAACTTTGCTTTTAATGGTGTGTTTACTTTCCTTACCCTGTGTCCAGTCTCCCAGTATCACATAAATACTTGTAAAATGATCTATGTTGAGTTACAGCAATATAGTTGTTGTGCAGCAGTATAGATATTAGAGAGTTTGTACTCAGGCGAGTTATGAGGCCAAGCCCCTTGGGAGACTTGTGTTCCCTATCAGAAAAACAGCTTCTAAAAACTTCTGCAGTTCATCCCATCACTTGCTGATCCACATGGCAGCTATTATTTTTATCTGTGCTAGCTAAAAGTCAGAAGAGCAATGGTTCTTTCCTTTCTCAGGCTTGCATTTAAATATTCATTTCAGATTGCCTTGATAAGAATATATTTTACAGAACTAGACTCATATGGTCTATTTTCCTGGGTCTCATATTGCTCTTATTGCCTGAAACAAGTCAGATCACTAAAGCTTGTTTTCCCCTTTCTATATGAACCCCCACCTCCTGCTTCCCCACCACCCCCTGGACACCTCTCTCAGGCCACCAGTGCAGAGCCTGGGATTCTTTCTGCCCTGCCAACTGTGGCTGATCAGGTTTCCCACCAGCTGCCATCACTGCATGAAGGCTCCCAAAACAGGAGAAAAGCCCCAGTGCCGTGCTGCAGTAAGCACGTGTGCCTTTCTCCAGCTGTACGCCAGTGTTACATCTCTGCTGAGATGCAGCTGAGAGCTGGGGAGGTCACATCATGCTCTGAGTTGTGGTTGTTGAGCTGCCTGACCCATGGAGGGGCTGCACCTTTCCAACTGCTTCCTTCAGTTACATACCATGCTCCAGTCGCATGACTATGAAAAACCTACATGATTTTTTTTTCTTTTTTAAAACATTTCTTACAATTTTTATTATTAACTGAAGATACTAAAACATCAAAATCCTCCAAAGGCAATGTTAGTTTTTAAACTTATTTTTCTTTGCGTGTTTCTTAAAAATCCGCAAACCAAGCAGGTCCAGAGAAGGGCAACAAAACTGGTGAAGGGTCTGGAGAATATGTCTTATGAGGAACAGCTGAGAGCACTGGGGTTGTTTAGTGTGGAGAAGGCTCAGGGGGGACCTTACCGCTCTCTACAACTACCTGAAAGGAGATTGCAGTGAGTTGGGGTCAGTCTCTTCTCCCAAGTTGCAAGTGATAGGACAAGAGGAAATGGCCTCAAGCTGTGCCAGGCGAGGTTTAGACTGGATATTAGGAAAAATGTCTTCAGCGAGAGGGTGGTCAGGTGTTGGAACAGGCTGCCCAGGGTAGTCACCATGCCTGGAAGTGTTCAAAAATTGTGTAGATTTTTGCAATGTGGAGGCCCTCAGTGACATGGTTTCGTGGTGGACTTGGCAGTCCAAGGGTAATGGTTGGACTTGATGATCTTAAAAGTCTTTTCCAACCTAGATGATTCTATGATTTCCTATTACAGAATACACAGCAATGCAACCTAATCCTTTCCAGTTTACCACATCTAAAATGTTACCCAGTATGAAGAGAATCCCATCAACTCTAATGGGCAGGGAATGACAGAATAACCTTGAGCCACAGCAAATTCTATACCAAAAGTGCCTGGAGGACTAACAATGAAAGATTTCATTAGAGTTAAATGCACTAATGAAATGGCTTAATGTAGTTATTCTGAGTCTCGTCCACGAGATCCTGTGACAAGGAATGCTTTTCAGTGCCTGAATGGAAAAAATACTTCAGTTAACATGCACAACATATTATTAAAATCTGATGTGTTAAAGATAAAGTTCAAGTCTAAATAATGATTAGTGCCAAAAACTTCAGGCCAACTGACATCAGCCTTCTTTCTTAATACTTTAGCTCTCTCCTAAGTCAGAAATTTAAGATGACTGCAGAGAATTTAAATATGTTTGAAAACTGAGCTTGACTTCAAATCAGTGTTAGGTTTACTGAGAAATGGGCATTTTGTAAAAGATGATATAAAACTGTGACTCTCTTCTACTAAGTTTTCATTCTTGTTGAACTCATTCTGAATAGATAGCGTTGACCTTTTAACTCTGATAATATCAGTGTCCATGTATGCTGGGAGGTCTGTGCCAGACATTATGGTCCTGATAATAAAATGTTCTGCAAATGAACAAAAAAGCAAGTGTTATAAATAGGAAATCAGCACCACCTTTCCTCTGTCTTGTTGCTTTAATATTTCTGTTAACACTAAACCAATATGTAGAACACCTTCCTGAGATGAAAAGGGGAACGAACTTCTAATGGCATTACTAGAGATTTGATATAAGGATAGTAAATATCTCTAATTGGTAATTGGTTTTCCTTTCTTGTTTTTGAATGAAAGAACTGTGTATTTCAGAATAGAGATAAATCTTGTAAAACCTCATTTAAAAAAAAAAAAAAGTTTTCATTTTCTTGAAACAAAAACTACCAAAGTATGCAATCGCTTACTTCCTTTTTTTGGAAAGCCACATGTTTTTTGTAATCAAAAATCTTAGCCTTAGTCCCAAAAAGCATTCTTCTGGTGGCCTTCCAGGTCCCCTTTCAGGAAAGAGGCAGTTGGGTGCTGGCTGAAGCTGGTGACATTCATTGTGGCTGTCAGTAAGTGCAGGGAATGAGCCACACTTTGGGAAATGTATTGGGGTTTTGCCTAGCTGTGTTGTGAAAAATGAACAATATTGCAAATATATGAACAAATGGCCATGTTAAAATAGTGTGGGACATTTATAAATGTTTAACAACTTTCCAACCAAACGAGAATGTGTGTAAAATTACTTAAAGTTCTTCAGCATGCTTTTTTTCCAAATCGTGTGAAATTCCAGTCCAGATTTCTGATGGACTAATGAAGAGATTGTATTTTCTTCAAATGACTTCCTGTAGGTTAAGTATTCTAATAACAAAAGGAGGCAGGAAAAACTTATGGCTTCTACTAATTTTATTCTGTCAGGCTTTCTTTTGTCATGTGAGTGCTCAATCCATTGTATTTTATTGCCAGGGGTTTTTTTAATTCTCATTTCTTACACTTTGAGGAGTGCCTGCATCCACAAGAGGTTACTTTTCCGTGCACAAATAAAGCAAACCCAGTTTATATCTAAAAATAATATAGGTTTGTATGACACTATTGACCCTGTTAGCACTTGGATAGTTTTCTGTTGTTGATGAGTTGTTATATCCTTCTGGATCATTCCCATGAGTTATGGCAATGTTGTGGCTTCACTGGCTGCTTCACGACCTGATTCTATGAGTTTTAAGTCCACAGAAAGTGTCACATAGTATGTGCTGTGTTCAAGGTGATCTTGATGTCTATTTATATTGAAAAAGACAATTGCTGGTAGCCAAAAGAAAAGCTATTGGCAATTTTTCTTTGGAGAGATGCTGGCTGAGATGATGTTTAGTATTGAAAGCTGTAATCTTTAGCTTGGTTTTACAGGTATACAAACTACTTTATTTTTGAAAGTAATATGCTAATGGTTATTGGAATCACTCAAATGGTGATTGGCAAGTATCTTTGGATGTAAGTTGTCATGGCATTAATCGGTACTGTAAGAGTGAGGCTCAAATCCCCATGAACTCTCAGTAGAGAAAAATAGCTTTGTTAGCAAAAGGGCAAACCCCTTGTCTGCTGCCCCTGTTGCTAATGCACTTGTCAAACAAGCTTTCTCCCAAAGTTAGGCAAAACCAAATGTGTAAAAATGAGAGACTTTAATTGCAGACAGCATAGCTCCCACAGCTATGCTGAAGCAGGCGGCTCTCCAGAGTATCCCCACAGTCCCCAAAAACCCCTTCCACAGAGGCTGAGAGAGGCAATTGCCGTTGGAGGCTCGCTTTGCAGAGCAGTACTTGTCCAAAGGGCGTCTCCCGCTCGCTGTGGGGCTGCATGCACAGCCAAGGTGTGCTGCTGTGGTCTGTAAGCACTCTCAGATGATCTCATTTCCTGCCACACTCCTAAAAAAAGTATTCATGAAACTCTTGCTGTGAGGAGGACAGTAATGTATTGAGTGGCTATCTGGCATCTAAGCATGCCATATGTCCCCAGAGGTTGCAGAAAGCCATTCTGTAACCCGAATTCAGAGATGTCACAAGTGGCTGAACAAACAAATATCACCAGTTAATGGTTAAGCTCTCAATTTACTAAAGCATTCGTTACCAGTTTGCAAAAGAGATCAAACAACCATGAATCATAACCTTGGCTACTAATTAAATCCTTTATTCCCTTCCCTCATCGCAGAAGCATTTAATCTTGGGGAATCAAGACAGCCTGTTGTGCAGAAGTAGATTTTACAGCATAAGCAGAAGCAAGTTTACTGTCAGGATTCCTACTGGAGCTGGGAAGGAATAAAATGAGAATATTAACTTTCCCTCCTGGCGTGGAAATTCATGTTAGCACTGAGCAATGACTGATGTAAAATAGCTCCATTGGAAAATCATTCTGGTGGTATACTTTTGTTATTTCACTGAATGGTGAATATCACTTTCATTATCCAGCCGTCTTGCTTATAGATGAGACTTATCATCTAGGTAGAGAATGAGGGATTTGGTGTGCTTTACTAGCTGTCCCAAAATAAAATATTTTACTCAGAAATAATGGACTGTGAAGAACACCCTAGAGAAATGAAGCACAAACCAAAATACTACAAGCAGTTTTATTGCAATTGAAATTTATTTCTATTTGTCATAAGATGTTTTTGTGTGTATTTATGTATAGGATGTATAGCTGCATGACAGTTAAAATCTCACACCTTAGATATTCAATGCCAAATAAAATAGTTTATCTTTTTGGGCTCCCAACTCTGTGAAGCAGAACTTTAAAACCCCAAACACTTTATTTCCTTTGTTTTTTGGGGAAGTCCTCCTTGTCCCTAGCAGCAGAGTGATGCAGCAAGGCCTCACAGAACAGAGACACCATGACTTAACTGCGTTCACTGTGACTCAATCCAAATGGGCAGTGATCCCAGTTAGGAGGAGTGGATTTACATTTATGTAACATGAACGATGATGCTGCAGTCAGATCTGCAGGAGCAGGGATCTACAGGGTGTCTCTCTGAGACACCTCAGTAAGATGTTAAGAGGGAAGGGCCTCCTGTATAGATCCAGCTGCAGATTCATGGATCGGTACATAGTTATTGAGGTAAAGTCACTTTATATAAATGCACTCAGTCTTAGTGATCTGTAGACCTGTGGTGAAAAGCTGTATGTTATTAGTTTGAACAGCAACCGTATTTTACGCTGTATCCAGACAAAGTAATCTTTCTTGTCATTGCTAAATCAGAACAATTTCTGTAACAGAAAGAAACCACCTGAGAGACAGTGTCTACAAGTAGAAAACGAGAGCTTTTTTTGGTCCTGCCTTTGGCTTTGCAGAAAGCTATTTTCCCAGTAAAAAGTGTGAGTTTAAAAAAAAAAGAATGCCCCAGCTGCATTTGTCATACCCTTCAGAGGACAGACATCCACCATTTGCATAGGCAGAACTTCTGTTTGCTGGGGAAATTTGTCCTGAGGAAATGCACAAATACTCACCAAAGTTCCAGCTTATATGTTACTGAAGAGGTTTGGGTTATATCATGCTATATCATACCAAAGATACAAGCCTGTACAGAACTTAAATATGTCTTTTCTATCCCATAAGGAGTATGACAGTTGTCAGGTTCAGTACAGACAGAAAGCACTACCTGGTGACATCTCAAGTTGCTGGACTATTCTATGATTCTATGAAAACATCTGGAATATCTAACTCTGCTTTTACTGCTACTTCCCCAAAGCCATCACTAGAAATTTGGGATGACAGTTGGAAGTACCATATGTTTGTGTATTTAAAAAGGAAATAAATATTGTGCAATAATATCATGTTTTGATAAGAATAATAGAATGAGCAAGTAGAATAAGTCATTGGCACAGCTTAAACATTTGATTTGCTATTTTAATGTTAAGGAAAATATATAATTTTGCAAGCTTTAAAAGAAATTGTATTTGTTGCTCTTAATGTTTAAAAAAAGTCAGATTCTATGAAAATTTCTTTAAACTACAAAGAACAAATTAATAATTTTCAATTGTGTTTTCAGTTCATATGCATGGCATGAAGGGGAAATATATTTGTTTAAAGACCTTTCAGATTATTTTGTCTCCATATACACTTGCAGTTCAGTTTTGGGATACATCTGCATGTAGATGTTGCATCCAGCTACCACGAGATCATTTGGAGTGCTTAGCAGTCAATGACTCAAAAATCTTTACAATGTTCTTTTAAAATGGTTTTTAAAAAATTCATGTAAGTGAAGAAATATATTGTACAGGACTCGGGGAGGGTGGGAAGGGGGAAGCATCCATAAAACCCCCAAAAAGTGGATTTCTAAAGTGATTGCATGTAAAAGCTGTGCATGGCTGAATACGCAGAAAATTGATAGCTTTGGGTTTGGTGTTTTTTTGTGGAAATGAAACTGGGAAAGATGGATGGAGATTTGCTTAGACATAGGTGGAGGTTATGTGGACACCTCATTTTACTGTGAAATGTATGCAAACCTTAGCATAGGTCAGATAAAATCCTGGATTTTTATAGCCTACTTAAAAGGTGGGGAAAGTCAACATAATAGTGTGTTGTGCTCCCAGGCTGAATCGCAACTACTTACATTACACATTCACGTGTTAGTGAAGCATTTCCTGCAGACTGTTATACTTATTGTCTGGATGGAGATGCTCTTTCACCCCACTCACCTTCCTCGTTTTTCCCACAGGCTGCGAGAACACCACCGCGCTGCAATTAAAGTGATTCGTAGGATGCAGTATTTTGTGGCAAAGAAAAAGTTTCAGGTGAGTTGTGAATAGAAAGCTCCTTTTCTAAATAAACCCTTTTATTCTCCTGATTCATTGCTGCTTTCAGAAACTTAAGAGAGACTAACACAATTCATTTCAGTAATGGTGAACTACACCCACTATTCTCTCCCACCTTCAATAGAGTGGTTGTTTAGTAGCAGGTTAGTCAACTGTGGATGCACTGGAAATAGGCTAAACTCCTGAAATGCAGTCTGAATTAAAATGTTATTTTCTGCTAATGGACTTGACCCTTGACCCTCTGTTATCACTGTCTCTTTCTCCCAGTGCAAACATTCTCATATGTCTCCATTAATTCTGAGCTGTGTGTTACTGTCATGCCGAGTCAGTGGGATTAGAGATTAAAATACTACCTCAGCCTTGTTTCTGTCTCTTACCCCATGATAATGAAGTCCTGATAAGAAACCAGCGTGGAAATTTGTTAGTGTATTAGAAGGTTTCTCTTTCCTTTTCCCTTCCCCCCATCTGCATAGGTAAGAGAGCTCCTTCCCAGATTGTGACATACTGACTCTCTTTACTCCTCTAGCCCTCGCTGTCAGATGTTTCCTGTGTGCCACTTCACTTGCTGTAATATTGCAATACCGTAAGCATTTAACAGTAGTTCATTAACCTTGTTGCCTGGTCTCAATAAAAAATTCTGGCTGCAAACTTTCTAAGAATGTGGTTTCTAAATCAATTTCATTAATCCAGTAAAAACACGTGTCAACAGCCTTCAGCTTGATTTAAACCAGGTGAATATATATATGTAAGAAATATATCACTTTACTTAGAATTAATTAATAAGGGTCAATCTCCAGAGAGCTTCACAACTGAAAAATGCAAAGAAAGAAAGGGACTTAACTGCACACATCCTTTTTCATATATGACCTCACCACTACTGCTTACAATAGACTAAAAAGCTTTTCCACCCTTCATCTAGATCCCAAAAAAAGGGAGGGTGTCCTTTTTCCTACCCAGTTTAAAGGGTGCAGTTTTAGAATCAAAAAGATGATGATGTCTAACAGTCAAAACCGTCATTGTTTCTTTAAGGCTATGCTTGCTGCTACTTCATGATTCTGACTTCTTCATTGAAATTTAGAAGGGCTGCCTGAATCCTTTAGCAATTTTCTAATTAAAATCTTTTTATTTTTATTAAAATTAATGAGCTAAATAACAGCTAAGGTTGCCTGAGCTTTTCAGAATTTGTTTCAGTCCTGTATAGTGTATTCAGACTGTCACCATTTAGGCTGAAATCTCCCATGTCCAGATTTTTCTTGGAAAGAGAACTTTCAGAAAGTTTCTGCTAGTCCATTTCACCTGTTATTTTTATTAAAGTAAAATTAAGAAAGGCACAATGGCTGGACTACTTGAAAGTAATTATTATAGTTATTTTGTTGAGAAGCTCCTTAACACTTGCTGGCCAGCACTTGTAACTTGTCAAGGGACATGGCCTGTTCCAGTGGTGTGTCCACTCCTGTTCAGTGAAAAACTGCCTGAATGTGGCCAATTCCATTAAACTTTAATTTATTCTCATTCTAAGACCTTACTGTGATCCTTTGCTCCATGGTAATTACTGAATCATTCCTCTCATAAATTTAGATCATAAAATATTTGCCATGGTATTAACTAAACTGCTTAGAAACAAGAAATCTACACGTTATATATCTACCTCCCAAGTTGTATTTGTCTAAACCAGATTCTGAAAATGCCTGAACACTGTGTGCAACATTATCCACCTGGCAAATAAACGGAACTCCCCTGCGGCAGATGATTTGATAGAAGCTGAAAAAGTGTTTGACTGAATAGAATGGGACCATTCAGTTCGTACTTTAAACTTGTTTGTACTCGGTATCCCAGTTGCTAATCTGGCTTCTCAGTTGTACACTCACTTTCACATCTGCAAAAGACCTGGACCTGGCCATCTGCAAAATTCCTCAACAAGGTTGTCTCTCGTCCTTCTTTAGTAGTCTTTCTTCTTCCTGAGCTATCAATATTAGCAGTTAGTAAAGAACTAAAAATGCCAGATAGGTTGAAATGGAATGTATCTCATGTCACTCCTGCACACAAGTGACAACAACTCCTGCTGTTTCTGTCAGAAGCAGAATTTCCCAATGGGAACATATGGGGGATATATGATACTTCTCCGTAATTTCTGAATTCAAGGTTATGACCGAGTATTAAAAAATTTGGAGAGCAGCAAAGGCACAGTTTTCAAAAGTATCTAAGTAACTTAACGCACAAAGTCACCTTGAAATTCAAGCCACAAGGTGCTTTTGAAAATTTCTCCTGTAATTAAGAGATAACCACTCATTATTCTTTCCTCAAAAGTATGTTGTAAATCTGCTTTGTTCTATTGTATGCACATAAAGTAGTCATAAGAAATCAAAATGTTTAAACATGTGCCAAATAATGACTATACAGTTTCTAATAACCAGTCCAGTGCACTATCTGAAATCAAGGTGAAGCAGAAAATGCATTTTTAAAATGTATCTTCCAGCACTGAAGAGGTCCACATAGCTGGTTTCTGGTAGATGCTTGCCTTCTAATCTTTTTGTGGTTATGTAAAATGTATCTTCCTAAAAGAAAATTCAGTTTTGTTTTGGTTTTTTTTTATTTTTCTACAACTTTTGGGAGGGAAAGCGGGTGAGGGAAATTCAGCTGAATTACATTGTACTACTCATGCTTAAAATTAGCTGGAACACTAAGCAAGGCCAGCAATTAAAAAGAGTATTTTTTAGAGATGCCTCTGAAGCTTTTGGGAAGGGAAAGCATAGGAAGAAGGGGAGGAAGAGGAAAATTTTGCAAAATAGATCCCAGCATGAACCCAGCATGGTTCTCAAACTATACAAGCTATCTGCAGGATACACCTGTATGCCTAAATTTGCCTGGATACACTTAGGATATCAATTAATAACAAGGGATGATGGCACCAGAAGGACAAAAGCCAGTTAGAAACCAGAGCCTTCCTGTTTAAAAAATAAATAAATAAAATAAATAAAGAGAAGCCAAACAGGGGTACAAAGAAATCTCACAGGACATGAAAAGCAATTCTTTGTGAAACATCACACTTGGGCATCATTTCATCTTTAAAAGAATGGCAGAAATTTATCTCTATTTTTAAGTCCAGGTTTGAACATAGTCCACATGATGGTGCCCGCATAAGAACCAGGCATAATATTATAAAGGATTAATGCCTTTTTTATGGATGTGTTTATGCTCTTCTAAAGTCTTTCGGACTGTTTCAAATTGTGTAGGAAAGATCATATTCTACTAGTTAACACAATTCCTATGCATTGGTTAAGGTGAATGGCTCACAGTTCAGGAAGGGTTCTGTAGATTACAGGGAAAACAGTACTTAGAAATTAATGGTTTTCTAAGCGTTGTTTACCCCACCTACCAAAAATGAATTTCATATACTAATTGTAAATCAGATGTCTTTGGCATAGTCTAACCTTACAACTGAATTTCAGAAAGAAAATCACCATACTCAGTTAATTCCACTAGCTGAATTCATGTGTAAATAACCTTTGTCTTCCAATTAGCAAAGTTTCTAAATATCTTAGGGCTTATGCACATGGATACAACTGTGATATCCATCACAGATCCAGATGATTTGATCTGATTTCCCATTGTCATTTAGAAATTATTTATTTTTTCATCTTTCCATGTAAATTCTTCCTGTTGGGTAAACCAGTTTCCTTCTAAAATATGTTTTAAACTCATGTTTTTCACCATGGCAAATATTCTATACATAACACAAACTAAAAATACAGATTGCAGTTCCACTGATGACATGAGTAACTGTTGCCAGTTTTGCTATAATTTCACTGGAAAATCTTGCATTTAGAATCTTATAATTCATCATCTGAGGTAATTCATTTGTCATGGTATGAATCATGAATTGTATGTGTAATTTTTTCTAATCTCCACACTGGGCTGTACCAAACAGTGTAGTTCAGTGTCCTGTGTTTCAAAGGTTGTTCTACCCATTTTATTTGACTGTTACTTGGTTACATTTCCCAGAAATTCCCCTTGCACGGATTCCCCTCTCCCTTTCCTGGGTCTGCCTTCCTGTGCATGCAGATACTAGGGAACAGCAGAGGCTAGTGGTTCACATTTTATATTTGGTGCTGGTTTCTGTGCTTTTTGCAAACTTTTGTATGTTATCAGGGAAAATTTTAACTCATTTAAGAAGATTTTTTCCATTAGTATTGGTTAATTAGCAGAGGGACGAAAGTAAAGAAGAGAAGACATTAAGGAAAGCTGAGGGGCTGGCTTCTACTTTTTTTCTTCAATACTCATCTGTTTCCTGCTCCAGGTTTTTTTTTCCTTTTACAAAAATTAACATGTTGTTAACATCAAGAGTATTTTCTCTCAAAGGATCAGAGTTCAATATGAAGTAATTACAGAATAATTAGTACTGCCTGTTAAGTACCCTATCCTACTCAGAAATGAAGCTTCATTCATAAATTCTATTTACTCCATTTTTTTAGTTCTTGTTTTAAAGAGAAAAAAGCAGCTCAGTAAATGAAAAACAGGCAGGCACATCCCTGCTCCTTCTACCATCAGACGCCTGCATCGGAGTACAAGGACAGCAGGAGAAAGCTCTGAGTCTTTATTCTTACTGAACAGCTTTTCTGAGCCTGGAGTTTTCAAGCTGATCTTGCAGATTTCTCTCTTGCTTATTTTTAGTACAAATATAATCCAATAATTCTTTTTCTTTTTCTTTTTTTTTTAATATCACGTTTACGGTACTAGCCCACAGAAAGACTTACAGGCTTATGCCATCGTTGAACTGGATTTCTTTGTGGATGTTAGTTATAATTTGTATCTGTATAAGCAGACAGGATTCTTGGGAACTCTGTGTGCTTTTTGGTTAAATTAAAGTGATTCCCTTTGCTGTTTAGCCTTCCAATAGAGAGTATCTCACAATCACCCAAGGTTTGCTGTCAGCTATAGGGAATCTGGCAGGCTGAAATACAATTTGTTTGATGAGCAATATTATTAAAGTAATAATTCCTAAAATGTGGGAGCTACCTCCCAGGCAGGCGCTGGGGACTGCATGAAGGAGCCACAGCCTTGTTTTTATATTGTATCCCTCTTTCCTTTTGCTTAAAAACACAGTATTTGTGACATGGAATTAACGAAAACCTGGAGCGTGTGAAATAAGGTTAAGCAGTGTAGAGACATCTCCTGCTTTTGATGTATAGATGACAAAATTTGAGTCCTTAAAGAGGGTATGTTAGAAGCTACCACCATAAACTCTTTTCCTTGTTCTCCAAAGATGCTAGAAAGGAAAAGTTGTAACTCGGTGCTACCAAGGTTTCTACCAAACCTTGAAAATTATATACAAGGTATCTATAGAGTCAGAAAGATAGAATTATAGAATGGTTTGTGTTGGAAGGGACTTTTAAAGGTCATATGGTCCAAAGCCCCAGCAATGACCCGGGACATCTTCAACTAAAGCAGGTTGCTCAGAGCCCTGTCCAGCCTGACCCTGAATGTTTCCAGGGATGGGGCATCTATCACTTCTCTGGGCAACCTGTTGGAGTGTTTCACTACCCTGATTGTAAAAAAACGTCTTCCTTATATGAGGTCTGAATCTCCCCTCTTTTAGTTTAATACCATTATCCCTTGTCCTATTACAACAGGCCTTACTAAAAAGTCTCTTCCCGTATTTCTTATAAGCCCCCTTTAAGTACTGAAAGGCCACAATATGGTCTCCCTGGAGTTTGCTCTTCTCCAAGCTGAACAAGCCCAGATCTCTCACCTTTCCTTATAGGAGAGATTCTTCAGCCCTCTGATCATCTTTTTTGGCCATCCTCTGGACCCGCTCTGGCAGGTCCATCTCTTTTCTGTGCCGAGGACCCCAAAGCTAATCACAATAGTCCAAGTGACGTCTCACGAGAGTGGAGTAGGGAAGGGAAATCACCTCCCTCACCCAGCTGGCATGTCATTTGTTGTTTCTGTATTGTTTGACTGATTTGATTAGGATATTTAAGAGAAAGGTTTCTACCTACTTGTAAGTTCAAGTGTTACTGTTCAGTCTTACGTGTGAAGTTTACACCCCAATCCTCTCTCCTGTGTAGTGTTAGAGCCTCATTTCAGCTTCTTATATGTAGCACTGGCATTGACTGGACTCTAATTTCTAGATGTAGGATTAAGATATTTTTAATTTGTCACTACACTTCACTTGCTTTGCAGTTAGGTTTGGTGTTTATTAGTTAAAATTATGGTCTTTAATACTACACAAAAGTGGGTTTATTAGTAATAGGTCAGATGAAGGCTTTCCCATGTGTGAAATGCAAATTACAGACACAAGGCTTTCTCCCTGGTCATTCTTTTCACCAATATTTTCACAGTATTTCCCACTAGATCTGAAAGCCCAGTCAGTCTTTCTGGAAGAGGAAATCAGTCCTGCGCCTTCAGCCAGGACTTTGCCTTTAACTTTCCCATGGCAAGAGTTGAACTGAGAACCCCAACTGTCTTGCTGCTGACTGAGAATAAGGGTTTGCATTTGTGAAAGGCCTCTTTACTGTTCGGTGGCCGAGGAGTATGAACTGTATTTCAGAAGAAACCAGAGTGACCACAAACTTCTGAGCAAAGTGCCAGCTATACTTTTTTGGCTTCAAATTCAGTGGATAATCTTGAAAGGCACATAAACCTGCAGTTACAAAAAGGTGGATGAAATCAGAACTGTCATAATTATCCCACAAAAATGTATGGTCATGGCAACAATAAAAATATTTTGGATGTTTAGACAGTGTTAAAAGGGTTAAAAGAACTTACTGTTTACTCTTGGGAAAAAAAAATCTGTGTTACTATAGACTGTTCCTACATCCTTGTGTCTTAAGGGCATGTGTTTTGGTTTTTATTTTACAGCAAGCTAGAAAGCCCTATGATGTCCGAGATGTTATTGAGCAGTATTCTCAGGGTCACCTCAACCTGATGGTGCGAATCAAGGAATTACAGAGGAGGTATGTCCATGAAGTTCTGTGTCTGTACCCATAAAGACCAGCAAAAGGATGTTTGTAAATAGGTCAGTGATTGGGGCTGGGGGTCAAAAACTGGCAGGGTTACAGGTGCCATATTGGTAGGACTCTGCAAAGTTATGGAATACATAATGGAATTCAAGTAAAGTTTTCTTTTCACACAGGAAAGAAAAGAGCATAAACATCTGATTATTGGGACTTCCAGGTTTCATTATATTTACATGTATTGCCTCAGTCCCTGCTAGCTTTGACTGCACACTGCAATCCCTATATGCTAGGGTCTGTATGATATATGTACAGAGTGAAATACTGTCGCATGCTCTAGTAGAATTGCACTTAAGAGCAAACTAAGAGATGACGAATGCAACAAGTAAGCTGCAGAAGAACATGGAAAAGAGGAAGCAGTGCTGTTTGTGTGGAAAAACAATGGGATGCTAGAAGAAGCTAAAGACCAATCTAAGTCTAACCCCATTTTGTTATTATCATTTTTACAATTTCAAACTATACTTAGCCCAAAGCATCTCCTTCGCTTACAGTACAAACTTGAACTTCACTTTGCTTGCTTGTGAAAAGCTAGAGAAAGTGAAGATTCTGGTTCAGGCTGATAAAAACTAAAATGATTCTTTTTGTTTTACAGGTTGGACCAATCCATAGGGAAGCCATCTCTTTTTATATCTGTGTCAGGTATGTTAATATGAAGGATGTGTCTAAAGTTAATCTGGTTAAGTTATGATCAATAGACGATACTTGTTAAAATACTTTTTATTTTGTTGCCAAATTTTTAAACAGTGCCAACCCATTGTGGTTTGAAGCTTAGGCATCCACAGCAGCATTTAATCATCAACACCTTTAAAATAGGCTTGTTCTTATTTAGATACTTTTTAAAAGTGCACTTTCTGCTTTCACTGCACTTTTCGGAACGTTTGCTCTAGTCTCCCTGGGGCTTGCCATATTTTCAGTTAAATGGTGTGTTATGACTACAGAGTTCTTATGAAATCAGTAATATTCACATAGTGCTTTGATAGCTTTGAAGGGAGCACAAAGTACTAAGCTTGTTTGCAACGAGTCTGGCTAATGAAAACGCTTGGTTAATGTCTTCAAACTCATGTTTCTGTGTAGTTTACGGGGGGGGGGGAGACAAAATGTTACCAGATGCATTGTTCAACTTGGCTCTAGAGTCTTTTGCATAGTGGCAGATTGTTTTTAAATGGCAATTAAAACATTAACTAAACTGGGAGCAGTTTCATTCTCCTAGGTTAAAGCCTAAAAACTAAGGTTGAAAGTGCCCAAAATTGAAGGGCTATTAAAAGCCATGGCTTGGGCAAATGCTATAAAAAGAAACAAAAAGCTGCTTTTAAGGAATAGAGTTATCAGCCTGGTAAAGGTGTTCAGTTACACTGTGTTGGTGGGCTAGTTAAACACACCCTGTTGTGGCTTGGTGCTATTTTGTTATACCACCATACATTAATTTGAAAATGTTTCTTGTTCCATAGAAAAAAGCAAGGATCGAGGGAATAACACGATTGGTGCCAGGCTGAACAGAGTGGAGGACAAGGTAAACCTCAGTTAGACTGGCAGTGAATGAGTACATGGTCTGTGATTGAACAGTGCTTGTTTCATAGGATGTGGGGAAAAATTCAGCTTAAAATAGAGTTGAATGTCCAGCTTTTCCAGGTGATGGAGCGTATTTTTGTGGCAGATTATATTTTTGGTTCTTTCTTGTAATTTTAACAGTATAAGGAAAAAAAACCCAGACTTCAATTGATTTTGGTCTCTTCTGGGACTTGCTTTTAATTGTATATATTACATATGTCTCATTGCTATGCTTCCTTCCTCCACAATAGATAAAAGACACTGTTCCTTTAATACCTCAGTATATTATGGTCCCTAAGATTTCCCTTTGATCGTTTCTCTGTTGTTTATACAAGTCCACCTACAATTCCTTGGAGAGTGCGATAGCAAACCTTGTTCTATCCTGGTTTTCATTCCTTATGACAAATGGAGTTTCTCCTTTCAAGTGACATGAAGCCAGAAAAAAAATCAGACTTGTTCTATAATCTCAAATTAACAGCTAAGTTCCTTGCAACCCTTTATTTCAATGCTGTCTGTGCTTGAAAAATTAGATCACAGGTGCAGGCTATGTCACTGTTAAAAAATATAGATTTGCCTATAGAAAGAAAGGGAGAGTTGAGAGAAGTGGTTTGAATCCTCTATTGATCTCTTACAGTGATTTGGTGAGGGGGTGAAAGAATTTCTTTACCTTAGGATTATTTCACTCATAAATTCAAACTGTTCATTCAGTATTAAGGAGTGAAAATTTTTCTTAAGGAAAAGGGCTTTCAGAATGTTTCTTCCACAACTGGAAGTATGTGATAACCTCATAAAGCATTTGTTCTGAAGAAATATCCAGCAAATATTCTGCAAACCGAAAGAGGTGTCAGCAGCACATCTGAAAGAATGCAAACTGAGCACCCTGAAGTGTATTGATTCACTTGTGACATATCCATTTCCTTACATATTTCTGCCTAAATACTTCAGAGAAATTTAAATTATAATACTCAGAACTGTACTTCAGTCGTTTGGAAATAAATGACTTTTTAAAGGGAACAGGTGCTTCTCGGTATGTAGGGTGACACACAAGAAAGGTGATGTAGAAGATATGCAGGTACAGTGCATTTTGCAAGTAAAAGAATCACTCTCTTGGATCTGTGGCTGGTAAGTGTTCTTACACATGGAAGCCTTTTCAAGAAAGTTTGGATTACATTTATTTATTTTTCTCTCCATAATGTCAACTGAAAGTGTGGAACACTAGAAAATGTCTTGTGACTTGTGACAAAGAGCAATGACTTTTCAGTTTGGACAAATAATTCTCAAATGACAGCTAAAACAGCTTCTCAGTGCTATTTGCAAAATCTCCAACGAGCCTGGGAAAGCCTTGGTGGTGTTCTGGCTCAGAGATAAGCTGGTTTGGGGTTATTAATTACTCTTTTTACATCCTTACAAATAAGTACACTGTGAATTTCTAGTGACCGTTGTTTTATGTCTTGTAATGGGACTGTAAAACACTCTCTGTTTAATTTTAGTAAAGCTGGGTTAAATTTTAACCTTGCTTTAAGAAACAGATCCTTCTTTCTTTGCAGTTGCATGAGGTCATCTGTGGTTTCAGAGTTGTATGTTATCTGCCCTATGCAACTAGTCCTATCTGCAGGAATTTTATCTGAAAGTAGCTGAAAGGCTAAAAATAGAGAATTTCAGTTGGACTCGGCAAACAGTGGTATACATGACAACACACTGGCAATGCTGAAACTGTGGTTTTGCTGCAGCTGCAGAAGGTGGCCAAACATAGTTTTTTGGTATTTTTTGCTCTCAGAGATTGGCCTTCTCTTTCTCATAAAGTACATGGTACACGGTATGCTTTCAACATACAATTAAATCCTTCCTAAGCTGAGCACTATATAAAGGATAACTATATCAGCTGGTTTTTAAGGTGACTATATATTTTAAACAGTTACATCTGATTTGGTTTGTGAATTAGTTTTGAATCTTCTGAAGGAGAGATTTTCAGTGCTGCAGGCTGGTGCTAATATCTTACCACCTTTTGTGCATTTGAAATATATCCTTTAAGTAATTTTAAAATGAGCTGTAGCCTTCTGAAATTATTTGGAAACTCCAGATACAGCAAGAAATTACACAGTACTTCCCATGCCACAGGAATAAGTTGAGTTCTTCCAATAGATCTTTCTCAGTTATGATTAGGATGCTCCTTGCGGCAGAAGGCTGGTGTACAGTTGTCAGAAAGTCTGTGTTAAAGCAGAAAGAGAAGAAATCCTGAACTTTCAGATTTTTAAAACTTGTGGGTGCTTCTGCCTATGGTTGTCTGCTGTCAGCACAGGTTCTGCTATCTGCAGGTCACCGAAGCAGAACCCAATTTTATGTATATTCTTATATTCTTTTGTGGAGGTGGATTTTAACTCAAGAAGCATTTACAAATAAAGATAATACTGTCTTGAGGAGTATTTAATCATATTTGTGGGACATCATGTCACTCTTCCAAAGCTTGTACTTGTAGCACAAGCAGATGCTCTAGAGGCATATGTATGGCTGGCAGTACAGGGGATGGCACGTCAAAGGAGCGTTTTAAAATAAAATGCTTAGAGCAGTATGGCAGTATTGGCAGGAACTATGGCACAAATCTGATTTTCCAAGTATTAAAATCAGAAAAAAAAAAAAGGCATTTTCTTCTTTTAAATTTAGGAGCATGTTCATTTGAGGGCAGAGTTCTGTAGAGTCTGTTCATCTTGTGTACTGAGTGAAACGTTGACCTTGTAATATATACAGTTTGTGATAATGTAAGGAAAGATTGTTTCCTAATATGCAAAAACCAGGGGGATGAATCACACTTGCAGGAACATTCCTGCAGAGTCCTTCCTGCGGAGTTTTGTAACTTGGGCAAGCAGATGAAAAGGTGATTTTGTACATGTAACTAGAAGCTTCATGACCTAATAGGCCTTTGTTAAAAGAAATCACAATCCAACATGTAATCAGTGTGTATTTTGACTTTGCCATGTTCATGTTCTCCGTTGCTTAGAAAGCTGAGGATAGCAAATGCTTAGTTCTTCTAATGGTATACTGCCATGGCTGAGTGCAGACAGTTGCAGCACCCGCTGTGCCCACACCCCACTCTGTCAGGACACCAGCCAGCTTTGGTCCAGGAGGCATGTAGCTGCAGTAATAAATACAGTGCCCAGGCTGAACTCATAAACCCCGCTAAGTAGCAATGGTCCAAGTGTGTGCATGTAGATATGCTGATCTAGTTCCCCAGAGAATGTTGCTGAGCGGGATTACAGTGTCAAATCAATTTATTTGTGGTGACCAGCCTCCTCTCTTTTTATCCTGAAACACCCAGCCTACCCTCAAGAAACCTGGCCACTGCTGGCTTGTGACCAAAATCAAAATCTGTTTGCCCATGATGGGCACAGCTGTGTGCACGCAGCACTGTTAATCCTCACACAGAGAGCACTGCATGCCAATGGTTTAATTCTGGGTGTGCCCAGCAGCTCGATCCAGGAACAAGCCCACAGCACGCTCAAGAACTTCTGTGTGCTACATCTCCTCTTTTCTTTTCACTGCTTTAATTTTAGCTTAGCTATAAATGACTGTAATTCTAACTCTTTAGAGTAAATTAACCTGCTCTTTTTTTGACCTTTTGCTGACCATTAATTTGGATATAACAGGCTCAGTTTGCACTTTTCAGGTAATCATCTGGGCTTGTTGCTTTGCTGCCCTAAGATAATTAAGTCTTAAATATAGGCACAGCACAAAATCATCTAGAATATACAGCAAGGGCTAAAATTGGCGGTCCCTGGACAGGCTTTGGTGCCTACATACCAGACTGCCCCAGATGTCAGTAGGTCTTGCCTGTGGACCTCCCAGAGTAGAATAACAGAACCCAGATTTACAAAATAATTTTGAAAAGCATTCTGAGCAGTAGACATTATGCTCTATTCAATCATTTAAAAAATAGGACTTAATCTTCTGCAATGATTTGGACACTTTAAAATTTACCTTCTAAGAATAGTTACAGCAATCCAAAAGAATTTGTTGGGTGTCCCTTCTATATACTCAGAACTATTCCTGTATCTGACAGTATGATATTAAGATCAGTATTGCCAAGGTCTCAGCTAAAATCTTATCATGGTCTTTTTCAGTTATATAGAACATTAGAAGTAATGCTATCTACTGCTAAATTTTAAGTTGTAGAGACTTAAATTGAGAAGGTATGTAGTAGTGAGGCATGTGACACCTTTTAATGTGAATCCAACAATTTTGCAAAACAATATTCTTCCCAAGCATGTGCACGCTTCGCATGCTTATAAGCTGAAAACATGTACCCTTGTATTCTGATGAGTACTAACATAAAGAGCAACATTCAGAACTTCAAATTTGCAGCGGAGCACTGAACAGAGAAGCATTTCACTTCTTCAGATGTACTTTAAAAGCAGATAGCACCACTTTTAAAACCAATTAAAACCCAATCTATCACGTGAACGCATCTATCCTTAAATAGATGCTAGTGTGCTGTTTGAGTTGCCTACTGGAAATCTGAACTGATCTTGGAAAGCAAAACCAAAAGGAGTTACCTTCTTTGCACAGTTCTTTGGAGTTCTGGTTGTGGTGATTTGGTTTTCTGTCTTCCATCTGCAGTGTCCTTGGTTGTTAAAGGTATAGATCAAATGTTCAGTAAAACTGATACATTTTTCACTGTGAGTGCTGAGTATGGAACTTTGAAAGAGCAATGAGTACAGAGGCTTTGAGGTGGCTTTCAAAAATTGGTGAAGACTGGTATGTTACAACATTTATATATGCGGTATTAGATTTTCTTCTGGCTAAATAATTTGCTGTAATTGTTTCACCAGAGCACTGATTCTACTCATACATGTATTAGAAACCAGTTTGGCTGGAACCCTGTTAAACACAGTCCAGATGAGCAGAATGACCACTGATAAGTCTAGGTCCAGTTTCTGATTTTACTCTTGCTCTTTCCTGCTCTTGCTT